GAAACGAGCCCTGAGGCCCTTCGTGAGCCCTTCTTTCCTAAATAAGGGCGTAACCTATCAACTAGAGCTTCGTTTGCGTGTCCCATGAATGTAGCAGCGGGGACAACACAAATATACACACATACATACATACACATACACAAATACCTGCATTTTGCACTCACTATATCTCTGCAGAAAATATATACATAGATATATAAAATATGGTTTATGTGTTTCACGCAAATGGGTGTGTATATGTGTGTATGTAGGTGTGGGTGTATAGACCTCAAAGATAGGAAAAGGGTGGTAAATATTACCGTAGCAAGGAGGGTCGCATGGTTAGCAAGCACCGACACTTTACCACCCCCATCACCACCACCATCATCAAACGTATTCATTCAAACTCAATGAGAATGAGAGAGAGAAAAAAAGAGAAATAAAAAAAGAGAGAGAGAGAGAGACACATTGCTTCTCGATATCAGGGTTCGCACAATCATTCATTTTCATCGTACAAGTTTTTGCCCCCTTACTCCCTGAATTTAAACTTCAGGAATTATAATCGCGAAGGATAGATGGCGAGGTGAGAAAGGTGTGATGCTCGATAAATTTCTATCCCTACCTTTGTCTCAACGCCGATTTAAGTCGTAATTAATTACGGGGGACTCTCTGATTATCCCGAGATCCGTCTCGTTAGTCGCTTTTAATTAAGTATCACTATTGTTATCAGGACTCGAGAAGATATTTGATTCGACACAAAATGAAAATTGTGTTAATGATGAATCAAAAAGAAATCAAATGTCTTATTACAAATTTCATTAATTTTGTTAATATTTTTTTTTGAAAATGTTCTATGAACAAACAAAGTTCTATAAATATTTGTATTTTTGATCTATCACATTTATTTTAAACCCTACCCCCTACCCCCAAAGTTATCATCGCGGTGATATTTTACTTCAGAAAAAGGTGAAATAATGCGAAATAAAATATGTACGAATTGTAATTAAATTATTTTTCCTAACGTCAATGTTATTTACAATCATTGTTAGAAATAAACATATAAAAATTATTTTAAAAATTAATAAAATTTAGAAATTTTTTTTTTTTTTTACTGTATTATCTTAATACAATTTTTAATTAAATATAATAAATATAATATTTCTAAATATAATAAATTTTATATTTTAAAATATATATAATAAATTAAATATAATAGAATTAATAAATAATTTAATTTAATATAATAAAAAAACGGGTTTTGGTATTTGATTCAATGAATTTTCGAGTTCCTAATGCCAATTAATAATAATAATCATATAATAAAAATAAAAGACAAACAATTAAATTGATTGAAAATGTCGAATGAAGATCGTAACGCGAAGTTAAGAAGAAAAAAAAATGAAAAATCGTAATATTATAATGAAAGATCGTGATTTTATTAACACAAAAGATAGTTGGTAGTAAGATAGAAAAAGAAGAAGAAGAAGAAGAAGAAGATGCTTCTCAGTCTGTTGTGGTGGCACGTGCCATACTTGATTATTACACAACACCGGTAATCGTGAATGAACAGTGAGAAATCTTTACGGTAGGTTAGCTTTCACGAGACCGACACGAGTCCCTCGGTAATTATCACCGTTCAACGCATGTTACAAACACCTACTAACACACTAGTATATCTACTAACAGAAAGAGGAAGAACTCTACCTTGCTCTGATGTGTGAGAAACTCCTTTCTTAACCTAGTTACGCTTTCACGAACTATAAACATCCAACAATATAAAAACTTAACATTGATTTTTATTCGTGATAAAAAAAAAATACACATTTTTTTACACTTGTTTCTCGCATTCATTATCTCGAAATAAATAGAGTAAACAATTTTTTTATTATTTTTTTTTTTTTTTTTTTTTTTTTTTTTTTCCCCCTATGGCGCCGACTAATCCTTTTCCTTCTATTCGAATGACATTTAAAAAACCAACTTTCTNATTTTTATTCGTGATAAAAAAAAAATACACATTTTTTTACACTTGTTTCTCGCATTCATTATCTCGAAATAAATAGAGTAAACAATTTTTTTATTTTTTTTTTTTTTTTTTTTTTTTTTAAATAAATCCAATACTATTGGAGAAATATCAATTTTCTTCTATTCGAATGACATTTAAAAAACCAACTTTCTAACTATCTTCGTAAAAGAAAAAGAAATAAAATACAAACGCATCTGCATCCGTGCGTGCAGCTGCAGAAAAGAGAACCAGAGAGAGAGATAGATAGAAAGAACGAAAAAAAAAGAAAAAGAAAAAATAAGTTCAAACCAAGTTGAAATCTTTCCTTATCTATATCTGTCTCCCTTTCTCCCGTAGTTTGCGATTTCCGAAGGTGCTTCGCCACACCACCTTTAACCCTCCTCCTCCTCCTCCTTCTCCTCCTCCTCCCAGAACCCTTTATTCCCCGTTCTCTCGTGGCAAGTACAATAATCCTTCTGTGCGTCCTGGCACGATATACCTACGTACAAATACATTCACAAATACGAGTTTACTGTGAATGTGAGTGTACGAATAACGGTCCATTGTGTGAGAACAGGAGGAAGAAACTCGTATCCACCCGCACCTTTCTCCCCCCACCACCACCCCTAGCCCATCTCTCGTGGTCCACAGTGAACTCCTTCGACAGGACCTAATCTCAATCGATCGATAGATCGATTGATCGGGATTGATTGATCTTAATTATTATGGTCTCTCTTTCTTTCTCTTTCTATCTTTGTCTATCTTTCTGTACTCTATTACGACATGTCACGTTCCTGGCATTTCGTTTCTGGAAAAATGTTCCGAAGCTGATAGTGGTGGTGGTGGTGGTGGTGCTGGTGCAACATCCGGTTACCCTTTCCTCTCTCTCTCTCTCTCTCTCTCTCTCTCCTTTACCACTTTTATCGTTCCTTTGGATACTACCAGTTCCCGGACGCCATTTTGTACTGAATCTCTAGCCTAACTTTAACGTCAAATTCTTCACGCATTTCATTTTTAAGGATAGGTCTAGATTTATTTGTTAATTTTGTAATTGGTGTAATATAAGTTGTAATATGTTTATAAATGCAGATAATAATGGAATAATTTATTATCACGTTAAATTATATAATACTATTTTATATATATATATATATATATATATATATTCTACCTAAGACGATGATTTGTTTTTTTTTATTTTAATTATTTTTCTAATTTACCAATAATACTATCCTTTAACTTTTCCACCATTTTAATTTTCCACGGATTGTTTTTTCTTTTTTTAATTTTTAACTTGATATCAAAAAATGCCTCAAACGTTGACATAAAATACGAAAGAATTTGACTACGCTAAATACCCCTGCAACTTTATAGAAATGTTATCGTAGGATTCAAATCGTTGACTTATTTTGAAAAATCGTTTACAAAAATAAAAAAAAATAAAAAATAAAAAGACAGAATCTCTTTGAAAGGAAATTATTTTGAGATTGTAAGTTTTTACGCGCTCTTTCTCTCCCCAAACCCCATCTTTCTACCTCTTCCCGCTTTTTTTTTGTACACCTTTTGTAACTTAAAGACAAAGTCGAATAAGTTTGAAAGACTCGAAGCGGACTCACTTTCGTAATCCGATAAAATCCTCAAGCGTGATTTTCTCAAGTCCTAGGAAGAAGTTTGTTAGCTTCCAGACGTTCAACGTTTCTACAAAAGCTGAGGAGGAGAGTGGTGTACATCTTTAAATACGAAGGGAAACTCTCGTTAATATTTTCTTCTATCACGCCATAAGCAATTAACTCGATAATGTCAAAGATCCATCATTCCTTAACCTCGAAACATTTCTTACGATATCGTTTTTATGATCAACTATCTTTTAACTTTGATAATTAAGTAACCCTATCCCTTTTTTTCTTTCTTATAACTTATAATTAAACGTATGGAATTTGTTTATATTTATCAATATCCTTTTATAATATTCGATAACAATTATTATCATTAATTTTATTCAATTAATTTAACACTAAACACGCGTAGAACAAACCGATCAAATGATTGGATTTTAATTAAAAAAAAAAAAATAATAAGATTTGTTACTCCCGTGATAAATTGTTTCTTCGAAAACTGTATGATTAAAAAAAAAAAATACACGACAAATAACAAATTAATTAATATTTTTCTAAATGATAACAACTATCGAATGAAAGAATTAACATTTAAAATAAAATTCGGTATAATCCGTGATACAGAAAACTTATTTATATTATAAACAAATAACACAATTGCAATTAGTAAAGTAAAGTAAAATATCGCGTGATAATAATTAGTTCATAAAAAAAAGAATACACACGACTAAAGAAAAGAAAACCAAAAAAAAAAAAACACGCAATAACAACATTGGATCCTACATATAGCAAACGAAAATCAAAACAAACATTTAAGTGTAATTTATAAACCACTAGAAAAAAAAAAAAAGATATATGTTAGAAAGTGTAATATTCGATACGACGTTTAAGATAAATTCGAAAATGTAAATATTGGAATATTTATACTTCTGTTTATTACTATCCTTTATCTTATTTCTTATTCCGGAAACATAGTTATCAGGAAAGGAAAAAAAATGAGAGCACATCTTTCTAACGAATATTATAAACGTGATAGAAAAAAAAAACATCATATTTAGAGCATCACTTGATGATGTCAGTATTAATGAAAACTTCAATTTTAAAAAAGAAAATAAAAAAACTAAACTAAACGTCACTTTAAGAACGAAATGAAAAACGAAGAAGCAAAAGAAAAGAAAAAAAAAGGCGGAAAAACTGGTATTGCCGTACTTGAACGAATACGCACATCAACTTCACACGATTTCATCCGCCAATCAGAAAATTCGTAAGATTACAGTGTGAGAGACGACACAACGTTCGAAATGACCGATCAAAATATCACAGAATTTAGATTAAACGTTATTTCATTAATTGTAACTAAGATCAATTAAAATGATTTATATATAAATATAAAATGAACATACTTGTTTAACCGAACTTCAAAATATCTCGTAGAATAAGCACACACACGGTCGACTGATGATCCTTAAATTTGACACAGAAGCAGGTTCGTCGACGGGTTTGGATTTGTTCGGAAGCATCCGACGTCCTTGCAATATTCTTCTTTAGATCCTTTCTCTTTAATTATTTTCTTCTTTTACGTTTCACAACACAAAATATATATTTACGACACCACTCCGAAATAATAACAATACTATCGATTATTTATTCGCGAGAAGAATAAAGAGATAAACAAAATAATAAACGGAATTATAAGTATTCTATATATATATACACACAAGTATATATATGTATATACACACTGATATAGAGAACGGAGCAATAGTACAAATACACGCGACACGGCCGACGTCCACGCTCGTTCTGAGGTAGCCCGGCATCTCGCTGTCGTACGCGCATAAGTGCCGCGCATCCCCGTTGTTGATTGGCTACCTGACTCCCACCAATCGCTACCCCCACCGATATAACATCCCAGGCCTCAGGGGTTCTCCGGAACGCGGGACGATCATCAGAGGATAATACCGCGCGTTTTATCGTTTCTCTTACTGCTTTTTCTCAATTATACAATGCTATCTTTTTTCTTGTTTCTATCTTACGATTTTCTTTACAATTTGTCTTCGATAATCGATCAGGATTTCAAAAAATATTAGAAAAGAATTTAATCAATTAATAATGATCGATTGTACATTAAACTTACCAGGATCATCTATTTTTTAAATCAAAGAAAATTCATAAGATAACAGACTATTCGTACTTTAGATTAATTTTAAATTTTATAACAAGTTTTATTTTAAGATAAAGTAGTATTAACGTGTACAATTTTTAATAGTTAATTTATTTTGCATTATACTCGGTTTACTTTTAGATAGAAGTAATATAGATGAGCAAAATATACATCAACCTGAGGAATAAAAAGAGATAAGCTAGGATAGAAAGAAAAAAAGTCGTTAAATTTGTTCTACCTCGGTGATAGGTTAAGCGACTAAGAAGGTGTCCGAAGAAAATAAACGATTATGCTGGTGTCTCCGTGATTCCAGGTACTTTCGTGTCTCGTGTTGTATTCGAATAAAACGTCAAGGTAAGCGTTTATGTATATGTGTGTATATAAACGAGTAAATAATTTAAACCTCTAGGTATTTCCTTTTCCTGGTCGAAGGAAGTCGCGAGGAGTGAACATATGTATTCTTGCTTTTAACGTTTGAGCGGGTTATAAAAGCGGTGATCCATGAACAATCTCGGCCATCGATTCAACTGGACTCTCTCGATCGTATTCTAACTCTTGACTTAATTTATTATCTCACAGTACCATAATAATCTTCAGGTTGGAAGTTCATGATTTCAACTTTAGATACATTAATACATATATTTGTAAAATGTTTATGTATAGATTTAAATAATAGTTTATCCCCAAAATTTACTGAATAATATATGGTCCATTGCCTCTACTATTATTTATATATATATATATATATATATATATATATATATATTAATCAGTAAAGTAACGATATAAACAAAATCAAATATTGTACATGTAAAATTAACACTATGACGCCCGGTGGCTCCACGTTGGTGCCATTCGCAAATTATCGCACAAGCGCCATATATAAATATATTATATATATAATAATGTATAATAATATAAATATTAATTATTAATATTTTAAATAATTAAAAATTTTATTTATAAATAAAAAAACTATTGGAACGACTTAATATACAGGTTGTTTAAAAATATTTCAATATAATTTTAGGGGAGTGGTTTCAGTATATGTTATATTAAGTAACATAATTCATATAATTATGTGAATCGAATGTCTTTACACAGGTGTACCTATATAGACATATATTTCTAAGCTTGTATGTAAAGTGAGGATCAGTGGTATGATAATATTGATAGGAAGAATAAATTTGCATAGGCATTAGCGTATTTCGAGTGATATATATATACAAGAAGTTAGTTGGAAAAACGAAACGATAACTATGCGGTTGGTTGGCCACGAATAAAACCGAACTAGTACGAACGTTTTAGCGAGATTACGCTCGAATGCTTTATACAACGATACAAGGAAAGTTGGTTCGGCACAAAGTGCTGCCACTTGTCATACAAGACTACCAGAGTGTAGGGTAGAATAAGACAAGAGGACAAATAACGTGGAAGAGTCAGAGGATAAATGGCTTCTCAGACTTATCCTCTCGTACTCGCTTCTTCTTCTTCTTCTTCATCTTCTTATTCGTATTCTTTTTATTCTTTTTGTCTTTTCTTTTCTCAATCTTTCTTTGTCTCAAAAAAAGAAATCTCTTATTTTTAAATACAGTGTCATATAAACAATCTCACTTTAACAGATCAATCGTATTTTCTACACTTTTCAGGAAGTTTACCTTTTTACTTATCAAAAATATGAAAAAAAAAAAAAAACCATAAAAACATATCAGCACGTTTCTTTGATATGATTTTTCACTTGTAAAAGTACAACATGAAATATAAATAAATGAACTTTATCTTATAACTAATTGCCAAGTGAAAATGAGTTGTATATCCTTTTTTTTTTGAATGATGATTGTTTGCAAAGTAGTGTTCTTGATTAAATAATGATTAATAATAATTTTCTTTATTATTTTTGGATAGAATCCTATTTTAATATGAATTTACTATTTTGAGATATTTACAACGAAACTGTATTCATCATCTCCTTTCTGTTTTAGAATTTCCGTCTACCAACTATGACAACTTCTCAGTAGTAATGAATTTAAATGAGGAAAATGGAAGAAATGTAAGAGAAAGATGAAAATAGTAAAAGAGGAAGCCCTTTCCACTAATTGTTCAGAGAAATTCCGTGTCTTCGTGTAGGTGGTGGTGAGGGGTAAGAACCAACGAGGGTAGAGATAAGTGGACACTTCACGTTATACAAAGAAAATTCATCATTTTACAAATTTTCCGATGCACTTGATACGTCAAAATTGATTATTATACTTATATTTATATATATATTATTATATTTAATATTATTATTAGTTGGCATTAGGAACTCAAAAGTTTATTGTCGCAAATACCAAATCTCGCCATTGTTCAATATTATTAAATATTATTATTAATTATATTATTTTAAATATTAATATATTATAATTATATTAAAAAAATATATTATTATAATGTAATTATAAAATTTTAAATATTTAACTTCTAAAGAAAATGGTCAAATAATTAATATAATATTTTATTATTCCTGTCTTAGAAATAATGAGTGAAATTATGTTACATAATTGAATAATTGAAATTTTAACTAATTGTTATTATTTGACTAAAGAAATTCATTTGTGATTGGGTGAGACGTAAGATATGAGAAAAGATCTTGAAATTTGATCATTGTCGGTCGATAAAAACTTACTTGGAGCGTTCGTGCAATCACGTACTTTTTCATGCACGAGGAAGCGAGATTGCTAATGCCCTTTAGGAAAGGGCTTTTCTAAACGGTTAATTTACCGCGCGCGCGGCAGTGGAACTCTTTTTTTCGTCCGCTCATTTCCCTTCTTCCAGCACCCTTTAACCTCTTATCCGTTACTACCCGATCTCGAGGACCAAAGAGTATTTTGCATTCTTCTTTGATAACGGGTAGGCTCTCTTTCAGTATTCTCTTATTATTTTCTTTTTCTTTTTTTACTCTTTCCTTTCCTTCCTTCCTACCTTTTACCTTTCTTTCTTTCCTCCTTTCAACCCTCGAGACTACAAAGGAAAGGAAATAGAGAGAAACGATCTCGTTTTTTCCTGTTTGTTCTCTATTTTTCTGTTCTCCCTTCTAAGTTCTTTCAAAGATATCTTTTTTCGAGTTTTACTGATAATAATTATCGATTCGTTAAAACATTATGGATACTTTTAGTTTGGATTAGATTGATAAGATTTAATCACTCTTACATATACATAACTAATATAATTATATAAAAGAACTTAATTAACATTTAACACAATGACGTCCGGTAGCTTCACGTTGGTGCTATGCAAAAATTATCAGATAAGTGCTGGTGGCTTTATGCTGGTGCTATGCAAAAATTATCGGGTAATTGTCGGTGGTTTCACGTTGGTGCCATGCGAAAACTTTTGGGTAAGTGCTAATTATATTATATATTTAAAATAGCCTATTATATTAAATATTTAAAATGAAATTAATAATTATAGAAAAATATATATTGATCTCAAATAATTTGTGTATATTTTGAAAAATAAAATTCCAAATTATAATCAAGTATCGTATATATACATATGGGTATAAGACGCATCCATTAATTCCTAATCGATGAATAAATTTTCCAAGTAACACCTACACAAGGTACCTAACACTACCACTATTTACCTAACTTAATTAATGCCTCATGGTTTTCAACACGCGCGAATGCACAATCGGATAGTCGAAGTTCAACGAATTCGCAGACGTGTAGTAAGTGCATTGAGGTATCCAACAGCGTGAGGATACGATATATACGGAACATAGGCACTGGGGTGTCTCGTGCAAGACCCGTATTTCATTGGAAGCTTCATTAACATTACACTAAAGCCGAAGTAAGTCGAACCAAGCCGTGACTACTAAGGTAAGACACTACGTCGTACCCATAAGGACAAGGAAATGCAGTTTGTGGATGCGTTCTTCTCTTCTTCTAGAAGACAAGATGCTCGTCGATTCATCAAGGATGCAGATAAGGACGTTTGCATATCTATACTAAGCATTAGTATATCGCTTTTGTAACTAACAGACATCCTACTAATAAAATTATACTTCTGTGACAATTCTAGAGATGAAAGTGAATTCATCAAATAAAATATAAATAATATTTAACTTAGGTTCGATAAAACAAATGAAGAAATTAAATATAAATCAAGGATACTTTGTTGAAATATTTTATTTTTATTACTTTTTTTTAACCCTTAGCGCTCTAAACATTTTTGTACCACTGCTTGTAATTAATTATGACAAGTATTATTTTTAAATATTTTATATTAAATATATTTATTATTTTAAATATTTACCTATTTAATATTTACTTATCGAATTTTTTCAATTTTATTTTTTTATTTTTCTGTACTTTTTTAAATAATGCAACAGCACGTTTTAATTACAAATAACAATTATCAACACCGAAGATACCGTAGCATCTTAAGCATAGTCATACTAACAACATTTACGTACGA